TTCTCAAACCATTAGATCAATATAATGAAGGATCATAACACCTAAACTACAATCTATTTTAAAACATGACTAAAAGTGGGATAACCAGATGTTTTATGCTTCCAATAGACATACAACATGAAACAAGAACACCTATGAAGTATTCCTATGAATATCCTTGAGAAATAGAAATAACAGAATCTAAATTTAATCAAGCTTTTGGAGTTAACTTCTGGTTCACATGGAAACAAGTTAAGATGACACTACAAAAAAGAGCCACACCAATCCAGACTGTAGGACTTTCTCAAAATAATTAGGTTTCCTCATTAAGTCAATGGATCTGAGGGTGGGCATGAAGGGAGAGTACTACTACAGATTACCAGGGTCTTAAGAGAAATAACCAGATGTCATGTATGGCCCCTGAGAGGATATTCTGAACAAAGCAACTCTTAAAATACATTTTTTGAGAAAACCGGGGAAATTTGAAGATGGATTGAGTACTCAATGACATTAAGAAGTCACTGTCAAATTTGATGGGTGTGATAATCATATTATGGTTTGGTAAGAAAATGTCATTATTTTAAAGATATTATGGTAATGTTTGAGATGGCATGACATGATGTCAAGGATTTGCTTCAAAATACAATAGAAAAAATGATGAACAGATAAAACAAGTGTGGAAACTATTGAATCAAGATGATGGGAATGTAGGATTCACTATACTGGTATATGATGACTGAAATCTTTGATAGTAAAAAGTTTTTAAAACCTACCATATGAATAACCCATTCGAAAATAACAAAAGCTTTCAGAAATTACTTAAAAATAATTTTAAAAGAATATTTTAAAGTTTACTTGTTGATTTTATGCATCACAAACAGGAAAAAAACCTCAATTTAACAGCTAGACAACATTCTAGCAGAAAAATGCCAAAATATATTTATTTGGCATGAATAAACAAAGTATTAAAATACTGTTCAATAGCTATAAAGAATTTTTTTTGAGAATTCTGTTAACTTTGCTAAAAAGCTAAATTTAGCATCTAAAAATTACTAACTTTTCTCTGTATTTATCAACTCCACTACACAGTAAAACCATCTTGGGATCTTGAAAAACCACAAACTACTGGGACACACTCCTCATTATTTTCAGTGTAAGGGTAGGGCTTGGTGATTTCGACATGCAGAAAAATTTGAGAGACACTGTCCTACAGAACTACAGATTTACCTTTATGAACAAATGTTTGTTAGATCGGTCCTCAATTATCAATTATTTTGACATCAACAGATTTCCTATAAAAAGTTTTGTATTGCCTTTTATTAAGGCCATATGAAGAAATGGATGACAATTACTTTATTCAACTCAAAACGCATGGAAAGCTCTAAAGTACTTTGTACACAGTACCTTCCCTAAATTTTTAAATGTAGACAACATGATCATGAAAAATTACTTCTAGCAATTTTTCTAAAAGTGATCCGCCCCTTAATAAATTAAATACACTTCTTAAACATGATAAAATGATCATAGTAACGACGTCTCAATTTATAATCTCAAGGATTTTTATCACCTTGTTCTTTGAAGTAGAATACGTGAATAACTAATAGTCTGCTGGACTTGTGATTATGTATTTAGATGTCAGATTTCTAATTATTTACAAAGCACTAGGTCTCCCTTCTTGAAAGAAGTACATTTTCTGAGACACTGAGACACTGTAAGCCCTAGCACTAAAAGAAAAAGAGAAGCCAAGTATAACTGCTAGTCTTAATAAACCATTATGTAAAATAAACCAATTAAAATGTATAATATTGATTCCAAATTCAGCCAAATCCTTAGATATAAAATTATACGAGGTAAAGTGAATTCCCTAAATATTTGCAGAAAATATTTAGTACTTGTGTTCTTACAGAATCTTCGAAATAAAGGGTCATCTATCAATTATTTCATTTTGAACAAGTACTGCTTGAGGAAGTCTCAGCAGGAAATGGATCAATACCATCAATACCAGTTTGTTGTATGTTGAAGTCACCTGACATTAAATATCATTGCAGGCAAATAAACATAGAAAAGATTTAGTTACCATTCCAGAGGGCATGACCTTACTAAAGTAATATTGGATGTTGCTATAAAGGGTGCCTGAAAGCTACTATAAAAGGCAAAATAGTAAGTGGCTCCTTATAAAGATGACAATATCCACCAATGTGGGGGAAAAAATTAACTTCATGTCCGATAAATAGATATCTTTGGACTGAGATAAATTTAAAAATAATTTTTCTATAAACTGGCTAGTGTAAAATACTGTGTGAATCAAGTTGAAGACTCAGCTTATATGAAATATGGATAACCTTAAAACACATTTTACATGTACATCCCAATAGAAAGAAACCAATTCAGAGACTTCTGTCTAGTAAGCATTTAAAAATTACAAGCTAGCTCATAATAAAAAATTAAAATAACCTGACACATTCTTATCAAATTAATATCCAGTAAATCAAAAAAATAATACTCAATTAAAAAAAAGTGGAACAGCCAGCCTCATGTACCATTCATATTAGTTTAATATCACCTTTCTAGAAAGAAATTTGCAGTAAGAATCAGGAGTCTTTAACACTTTTTTTGATTTAGTAATTCTAGCTCTAGGCATCTAGTTTAAGGGAATAATTTGAAAGACAAAAAGTTATGTACAGGGTATCTGTCACATGCCATATATACTAATAAAAAGTATAGAAGAAGATTCAATGTCCAACAAAGGTACTTTCAAAAATATTAAAATTAGTTTTCAAAAAAATTCTTACAAAATAACAATTAGAACATATCACAAAACTGCAGTGTGATTTTAATTTTGTACAAAAATACATATTTACATAGAAAATAAGAGCAAAAATATTAACAGTGGTTACCTCTTGTAAATGATCAAAACTATCAGAGTCCATTCCATTATCTGATTTTTGAATCTTGTAACTCCCCTAACATTCAAAAAATATCTGGGGATACTTAAACAAAACCCAGTTATAACAAAATGCAAAACCACTGAAATAGATAAACGATGAAATCATTTAGTAAAAGGTGAATTCACATATTTCCACTACAAAACATTTCCTTTTTCCTTATCAAGCACGAGTGCAGAAACAAAGATATATTAAAATAGTCAAAACAGAGCGAAGGAGATGACACTAGCCACATTTATTAAGGAGTGAACTTTACTCATATGCTTTTAGTGCAAAAATACACAATACCTGAAAAATGGATAATGAAAGTACAGAGGAAGACACAAGTTAATTATGCTAGTGCTTCATATTTTTTATGAGAAAAATGTTTTACTATTACTTAAAAAAAAAATTTCATCAGGGCTATGAGGTTACAAGGAAAACAGTGATGAACTCCCTAGAAGAATCTTCATGACTTCTAACCTGTATTCCATCCAGAATCCAAACACACAGAGGCACATCTAACTATACCCAAATGAGCACACACACAAACTCCTTAAGAGTCCAAGCAACTGATTGTTATGGTCCTATGCTTGTCACTAGCTGGAATTTCTTGGTATTTTACCCTTAAATTGTTCAACGAGTTCCATGTGAATTTTTAAACTTCTCAAAAAAGAGACGTCATCTGCTTTTGTTATTTTAAGGATTAAATAATGTGACTGTACAGTGCGCCTAGTAGAATGCCTAGGACCTAGAAGCTACTCGATAAATGTTGATGTTTTCTCTTCTGTAAAAATCATATCATTTCTATCAGTAAAGAACTGGAAGAATCTACAGTAAGGACTATAATCAAAGATCATGTATCACTCATTGTCTCACTCTTGCCTTTACCTTTAAAATGGTACATTACGAAATAATCAATTTAAGAAGCCAAGTTAAGGGAGTAAAGGCTTAAAGTAGGCCCACACTGTGATAGAGATTCTGTCAGAAAAAAATATTACCAACCTTAAGACTCTGTTAAAGTCATGATAGACAGTTAGGGCTTGTGCTAGATGTGTTAGAACATTAGAATAAAGGGTCAGTTTGGTCTGAAGTCACCAGAATTAATTTCAAATGTCAAGTGCTTCTCTTGTGCATTAGGGTGTCTCTGTTCACAGATGTATCACTTATACTGCACTTTCAATGGAAAACACCATTGTTACATATCCACAATAAATATAAATCTATTTATAAGAATTACTTCATTATAATATGCTTTTTCTGACTGAGGGACACAAACTAAACTGTAAGAGCTAGTTTTTAACTCCTCAATCTTGGGTTCCATATGGACACACTCTGATTTAAAGAAAATCTTACAAATATCAAATGTCAAGAATTTCTGAAACACAGCAAATAAAACTAAAATTTCATCCTAAGTTATAAATCACTCATTTTACTTACAAAGTAACATTTTTCCTTATTCTTCATTCCCTATTATCTTCATCTTTACTCCATCAACTAGTTGTTGCAAATTTTTGCGTTTTTTTTTATGGGAGGTGACTCAAATCCATTGTAGAACAAGGTGAAATATAAATGATTGAGACAAAATGTGAATACCAGAATAAATTTTCATAGCGAATTCTTCGTTTAAATTGTTTTTTAAGAGACAGATTATAATATCATTGAAAAAACCCATATGACTAATCCCATTACATGTTTCACCTGTTCACTTTTCACCATTTCTGTGCAGTGCTAAATTAAAGCAATCAGAATTGCTAAAGACTAAAGAATATGCACAAAGACTCTAGACATAGACCAAGACAGTGTGTAATCAAGTTTAACGTGTAAATAACTCAACAGTATTTCTTTATTAGAGCTCTTCTTTTATTTTGACAGAGAAACTGAGGATGATGAAAGGAATATAGCTGATAGAACTGTAATTAACACTTTAAGCTTTTCTCCCAACAGCATTCATATACATCATAAAAAAAAAATAATAACCTAACACAATTTCTTAAATTCCAAAATGGAGGATTTATTATACTTACTGTAGTTTTAATAGGCACTTTCCCATTTGGCAAAATGGGAGAAAAGTGGTATAGACAATAAAAATCATACCTAAGAGAGAGGTCTCCTTGGCAAATGCTGCAGCAATAGCTGGGTCCAATGCAGGTTGTCCATCCCCAGATGGAAGATCAGGTCGAGTATAATCCCTACTTTTATCATTGTTGTATTTTACATTCAAATTCACAAGTTTGGAAAAATCAATCCTTAGTGTACAGCAAGCATTATAAATATTCTGACCATCTAGGGCCTGTAAAAGTGAATAAAGTATATCAGCAGTCTTAAGGAATGAAAATTAGCAAGAAATAGGATTTCGACAATAAAACCCAATATTGAAGACCTGCACATAAAAGCCACCAGGAAAGGGACCAAGTATCATGCATCATTCTTCGTTATCCCAGCTGTACATTATTTGTTTCCACAAATACTATCTTCTTTAAATAGAAAGTGCTACTTAAATCTAAAATACAACCAGTTGAACACATTTGCTAATGCTTTTAATTCAAAATATCTGCAAATAATTTAAAAAAATAAACAAGGATGACAGTCCTGTCAAAGTCATACCATAATAGTCTGCATAATACTTTAATTTTATTATACACATTTTTTGCTGGATGGCAGTACTTAGAAGAATTGTTAGAATTTTGTAAGGTAACTTTTGTTTGATGACACATTTTATGAAGTGCCTCAAGCCAAGTAAGTATCACTATACGGCATAATAGCAAGTCCCATAAAACGGGGCAAAAACTATTATTTCCGTAACTTGAGGTGTTCAACCTGAATCAAAATAACTTGAATTAGAAAATCCAACATCATCCCAGGAAAGCTCTGGAATAGAAGAGTACAGGCTCTAGAGCTGAAAGTCTACATTCAATTACGTCATACTGAGCAAGTTACTTAACCTCTCTGAGTATCAGGATCTTTCTTAATCTGGAAAACAAAGATGGTAATGGCTGCCATGATCCTCACAGGTTACTTTGAGGATTAAACAAAAGATCACATATGTGTAAGTATAATGTGAGTTATAAAAGACCATGCTGCTGTTATGATTATTATGGTTTTTTTTTTTCCTGCTCCTATATAATCACAATTGCTACTCCAGCTGGATGTAAGCCTAGAAGAAACTAAAGAACAAGGGAATATATTAATTTTTCATTAGAAGAATAAACATTTACTGTATAAAACAATAGTTCAGAAATGAAGAATGTTTAGCTAAATCATCATGAAAATGAAACAAGTTCTTCTGATAATAGATCAATAGAGTAAGCCTGATGTTTACATAGACCAAGATCCATTATATGTATACATCTAGAACTATAGTACTTTAGTAATAGACCAGTTTTTTTTTTTTTTTTTTTTTTTTTTTTGCAGACTTTTGAAGACTGGACTGAAATATATATGAACCTTGGGACAAATTCAAGAGATTGTTGAATTTTTCCAACACTCACTAATGCTCCACTCTTAATCTGTTTTTTTATATAGGCTTCATTGTCTTAATAAGCATAAAAGTGTAGCAACTGAGGGGCGCCTGGGTGACTCAGTCCATTGAGTGCCTGACTTCAGCTCAGGTCATGATCTCATAGTTCATGAGTTCAAGCCCCATGTTGGGCTCTGTGCTGACAGCTCAGAGCTTGGAGCCTGCTTCAAATTCTGTGTCTCTCGCTCTCTCCCTGCCCCTCCCCTGCTCACACTCTGTCTTCCTCAAAAATAAATAAACATTAAAATGTGGCAACTGAACTACAAAGTTTAGAACCAATTCATTTTGTAGTATACTGAGATATACAAGGATGACTACAAAACAGGAAGAGATCTGTAGCACAGCAGGTGATGTTCCCCGCAAGTGCTAGGAGAGTTGTGACACAGTATGAAAGTTCTAATACCTACAATGTGCTATACACCGTGCTATGTTCTAGGAATATATGTTCTAGGAACAAAGCAGAAGAGCCACCCACTCTTATAGAACTTATAGGAAAACAAAATATAGACATCTCACAAGTAATTACAAATTTGATGTGTGGTAGTGAGAATAAAGGAAGGGATGTGATGTAGCTGGAAGTTTACGGAAGACTTCTCAGAGACTTCTAAACCTGAAAGAGGAAGACAGGTAGAGGTGGACATAAAAAGACAAAGAGAAAGCAGTAGAAGGAAATGAAACATCAGGTTCTAAGCCTGAGAAATCAGAGAAAATACAGCATATGCAAGCTATTTTACAAAGTCCAATATAGTTGGGGTGCCTGGGTGGCTCAGTTACTTGAGTGTCCAACTCTTGATTTCAGCTTGGGTCATGATCCCAGGGTTGTGGAAATGAGTCCCGTGTTGAGCTCTGTGCTGAGCATGGAGCCTGCTTAGGATTCTCTGTCTCCTCCTCCTCCTTCTCCTCCTCCTCCTCCTCTGTCCCACTCCCCCACCTACGCACTCTAAAATAAATAAAAGGAAAAACTTTAAAAAAATTCCAATTTAGTTAAAAGAGGAGAGATGAGATTGGAAAGACAAACACTGAGGATTGCTTTAAAGTTCTGTAAGCCATGTTAAGGGCTGAGAAGTTTATACTAAGGACAAAAGCCAGTCACTGAAGGGCACTGAGAATGGAAGTAATAGGACTTTATGTTGAATCATCCTTAGTGCTCGGGAGAAAAATAAGTGTAGGGGAAGAACTCAAAGTGGTGAGGTGAGTCAGAGGCCTTCTGGGATTCTTGGACTAGCTGTCCAAATCACTCTGCATGAAAAGGAGTGTGTCAGAATCTGTATTAACAGCGCACTAAACACACTACTAGAAGTATGCTGACTTGTATTTTAGCAAACACTCCTGGTACCATCAGAGACCAGCACTTTGAATAACACCTGGTTTAGACGAGGGTGGTGTGCAAGAGAGCTGGGAGACAAAAGGATAGATTCAACAGAAATTTAGGATGAGAATAAGATTTGGTGGTAGGATGAAAGGAAGAGGAATAAAAGACATGTTTTCTGGCTTGTTACTGACATGGAATTCGAACCCTGAGCTTTTTACTGACACAGGTGAGGAAGGGTTTGGTTTTTTTTGGGGGGGGGGGGAAGAAAGGCTGAGTGGGTAGGTGACAGGAGCTGAACTGATCACACTAAGTCTGAAGGTGCTTAATGGTCCACTAAGTTCCTAGTCTGGGTCTCTCAGAAGAGATCTGAGCTAGAAAGAGCCACGTGGGCAAGTCAGAGTCATGAAGGTATAATTGAGCTATGGGAACAGGTGAAGTCCCCCAGGCAGAAAGAAGGGAAAGGGTATGATGAGACAAAGAGAGGTGGAACATATCTAGGCAAGAAGTGTTGAGACCAGAAGAGAAGATTTTAAGAAAGAGAATGGCTCACGCTGTATCAAAGGTACCTAAAGGGTAAAGACTGAATAAGGCTGGTGAGATTTACCTACTGTAGTGATCCTGGGGACACTGGGAAGAATAATTTGAGTAAATCGGGGCTGAAACCAAATTATAGTAGGTGAGGAAATAAAAAGGGAAAAAGTATACACAGCAAACAAAGAGAGCTTATTTAGTAGGTCTGGCTATAAATGAAAAGGGAGAAGAAAGGGTGATACATATGTGGAGTTCAGGGTAAATTCACTCAAATGAGAGAAATTTAATGATGCTTGTGACACTGGTGACAAGTAGCCAACACAGAGAAAAATTAAGAGAAAGAGGGGATGAACGATAGTGCAAAGTCTCTTGAAGGGGAGAAGAAGACAGGATCTGGTGTTTACTTGTCCTAAAGTTATCTATGCCTTTTATTAGAAGAGAACGATAGGTGTGGTATAAGTGGATTTTGTGAGAAAAGCTGATGGGAGTTTCCATCTGATACTTTCTATTTTTTCTGAGAAATAGTAGGCAAGCTCATAAGGAGGAGTGAAGAGAGTTGGTAGACTAATTTTCTGATACAGTCTTTGTGAAAAATGGGACAGCATGCTGGAGAAATGTGGTGACATTTGTCAAGCAGAATAGAGGGCCTATTTGTAATTAATGCTGATAAACTTCAACTGGTATCAACTGCTAGATTACAGGATATTCTCTAGGTACACCCAACAGTCTGGATACAGGCATGAAGAAAGATTACTAGAGTCATCAAAAGTATATGTTTTAACAAGGAATCTGGATTACAAGATAATGGGGCAAGCAAGTTCGGGAAACGACCTCTTTTTTCCTTCTCTAATAAGTGAAACAATGTTCAGTTCAGATACCAGAATAGTTAAATAATGAATATTAAATAATTACTTAATAACTCCCTCGGAATTACAACTGTAGATCTTTGTAGAGAAGACATGATTGAGTGTAACCCTCACAAATACTTGATGCTTATTATCCTACACAGACGACTGGTTAAATTTAAACCTCAAATATCTGATAACATAATTAAAGTAGAATCTTTTGTTCTCATTACTATAGATTACCTCAGACAAAACACATAAACTACTTTCCCCATTGGATTATACCCCAAATGCAGTGTAATTTCAAATTAAATTCCATTCCATTGCCTTCTACCAAATACTCTCCCCTCTCCATCAGAAAGGATGACAAAAAATATTCCACATTAAGAAAAACATGCACTATATTTAAATATTTGGAAGCTGTGAGAAGTGCCATAAACATCCTGGCTTCTAGACCGTCTGCTACTGATCAAACCTCATACCACATGGATTTTGGTTACTCTTTAAATATAAAATATCTCCAAAGTTAGAGGTCAGGGACATGTAAAGAGAAATCAATATTTTTGGAAAAAAGAATCCCAAGTGTTAATGTATGCCTGAAAAGGAAAATATAATAACATTAGATCATGTAACTTAAGAACAAGTGAGTAGCAACATACTGGAGAAAATCAGACTGAAAATATGTCTACCTTACATATAGTGAACATTGTAAGTAATTTACCTCTTTAAATATTAGCATCCCCTTGTAACACAAGAATAATTCCTGTTCTGTTGACTACATATTAGGAAAAAAACGAGATAACAGCACTTGGTAAACATTTCAATTATGCCAATATAAACGGTATAGCAAAAATATCTGAAGCTATTTTTGCTCCCCAAATGACATGCTGAAGTTGGAAACACAATGAAACAATCAAAAATGGTCTGGGTTCAATACAATCTATCTTGATCTAGAGGAAGCACTGAAGTATTACAGACCATAATTATTTGAAAGTATGAGTAAAAGGGAAAAAAAAAGAGGTAAGACAGAAGGTAAAGGAAGAGAAGACAGCTAATGTAATGGTTTAATAATGAATATTTAATCGTTTAACAACAGAATAATAATCACAATGAGATAACACGGCACGAGACGTTAAAGAGCTAGAGCAAAGGTAGATTTAAATACGATACACAAATAGAAGATTAAGGCAGTTGGTAGCAAAGATATGATATGCAGTTTTCAATAGTGGTCACGATATGGGAAGATATTTTACTTCTTTTAGTAGTTTCTTATCCTCCATATATAACAACAAAAAAACGTAAATGATGTGACTAAAAAGCAGATCAGGAATCTATTCAAAAAAGCAGTCTTAAAAAAAAAAGGCTTTAAAGAGAGTATTAAATATACTGTAGTCTTAAATACACTGAGAACTTATCATAATATCTGAACCACATGTGTGATGATTATTTCAGCCCAAGTGTCTTGATAGCTAAATTAATTACTCTGAAACTCCCACTGGAAAACATTCAAAATCTTTACTGGTGTTCATGCACAATATATCCTGCCATATCCTCAGGAGCATAAAACTTTGGACCTAAATCAAAAACGGACAGTAATAGAAATCAATATTATAGATAACTATAAATAGAACTATCCTTAGAAATAAACATTTCTATCACAAATACTAAGCTTTTCTAATTGTACCTAAATGACACCAATTTGTGCCATCTACAATGCTACATGGTACTGCCAAGTTATGTTCATATTAGTAACATCAGCAATATATGTGTTTATGTGTACCCACCATTGAAAAAGATCACTATCTATAAAAAAAAAAAAAAAAAAAAAAAAAAAAAAAAAAAAAAAAGCAAGCTCCAGACTTACTAGTTTTGCTTGTTGAGCATTTACTGGATCACCATACTGGAGAAGAGCCTGAAACTGGTTATTTTTTGTAAATGTGATGATCTTTAATACAGCACCAAACTTTGAAAATATCTGTTAAAAAATTAAAATCAAAATATTATTTATCTACGGTTATCTTTATTTCTCCAATTTATAGGTAAACACGAAAATTAAGTTAAACTTACTTGGTGAAGAACATCAAGTGTTACAGGGTAGTACATATTGTCAATAATTATTCTAAGCACTGGACTCTGGGCTGGAGTCACTGCACTCTCACTAACTGTGGTGCCACTAAGAGGCGTATTTGCTGTCTGGACAGCTGTCACAGCTTGAAGAACTGCTTGAGCACGCTGAAAATTAAAAGATAAGCACTTTAGAAACACACTCCGTATTTTCATTTAAACTTTGCTACATGTTACACTATTAGTTCATTTTTTTCCACAACACACACAGATTAAACAAAATTTAACAATCATTCAATAAATACTTTGGAGCTCCTACCATGAGCCAGGTATTATCGGTTTATAATTCAAGTATCCTACTGGTATTTACTTCAAAACAATTATCTAAGGTTTGGGACCTAGATAATTGAACAAACGAAGAAAGGCAACGTAATTTATTTTCAAAAGAACAAAATATAGTTTGGCAGATTCATAACATCAGAAAATGTTTTAAACAGAAACTTTTAGAGAATAAAACTTCAACTTAACATTATTCACTCCATAAAAAAGGTACCCAGTAAACCTCAGCAAGGGGATTACCAGATTATCCAAAAGAACTCCTGTAAAGTTTATTATTTCTAATACAATCTTAGAGGAGGAATATTCAGGACATATATTAAGTCTTTTTCATAGTAGCATAACTTCTAAAATACTACTAATTAAACCAGACAAATCAACGACACTTAAGACACATCTTAATTTCTGAGATTTTAAAATGTGAAAAAATATACATACTAGAGTATTACTACTATGATAGATTCACCAGTAAGGAAATAGTATTTCTACCTATCTGGGGTCAAAAAACCTACATAAAGGCAAATAATTGTTAAGTAACAACAACAAATAGTACTACATTGTTTTACAGTTTGAAAAAGCTGTACTGGCAGATGAACAGGAATATAAACTGAGCATGATAAATGAAAAGGAAGGCGAACACAAAAGATAGGAGAATAAACAAAACTGGTAACTTTGAAAGCACATATACTATGGTAGAAATAATTTTGCAATCCGTGTGTCAAATCAACACAATATATACCTTAAACTTACACAATATATCAATTTTTATCTCAACAAAGCTGGAAACAAAAAAAAAAAGTCATTTCATTGACATGTCCCATAACCAGGAGATCACGCAGTTTGGAATTCAGAGACCACATGCCCATCTGGTCAAAAACCTCATTATTTAAATGCTAATTAAACAATAATATGACCTACAGATCTATATATTGGCTGAGGTGACTTCAAGTATTTTAAGTAGTGTACTGCAATATTACTTCCTTCACTAGTGAAGCATGTCCTTACATACATTTATGTTATTGCAAGCATGGAAATATCACAACTTAGGAAAATACTAACATCTCCTACTTCAAATAATGGAATGTCTTTTTAAAATAGGAATCACATGATATACTATCCAAATGGAACAAAAGGTTAAAAGTTTCCTCTGCAACCCTGTCACCCTGTATCCTTTCTCATACCCATTCCATACCGATATTATCATGGGTACCCTTCCATATATCACCTAGGTGTGTGTGTGCGATATGTCTATTACATACCTTTCCCCCCAGTACTATTCACTTTTCTCCATCTTCTCTTTTTAGCTTAGGTTTTCTACTATCATTAACAAATAACTTTCCATATTTTTTTTAACTGATGAAACAGAGTTGGCTTGCCAACAAAGATTTTAACTGAACTTAGTGAACTATTACATATACATATAAAAGGACACAGATCCTAAGAGTATACAGCTCAATAAAACATCACGAATTGGACATATCTGTAAAATGACTAGATAAAAATAGAGCATTGTCAAAACCCTAGAGGCCACATTCATGCTTTCTCCCAGTTATATAAAATGGCATCATATGTGTTCTACTTTGGTCTGGCTTCTTTCACTAAACATCATTTTTATGATATACATCCATGTTTTGCAAGTATAAGTAGCTTGATCATTCTTTTTGTATTCTAAGAAATTCCAACAAATGAATATGCCACGACATATTCTACTGCTGCTGAACATGTAGATGATTTCTAGTTTGGGACTATTATGTATTAGTGTTCCATGAACTTTCTCATACATATCTTCTGATGCACATATTACATATTTTCTCAGGTATGTAACTAGGATAGATTTACTAAGACAAAGATTATGTATATGCTCAGCTTTACTACATATTTCAAGTTTTTAAACAGAAGTCTACTAATTTACATTCTTAGCATGTATATATGAAAGTTCCAGCTTCCCAACCTTGTTACCAACATCTGGCATTACCCATCTTAATCATAGGCAATCTGACACAGTACATGGTAGTAGCTCAATGTGGTTTTAATTTATGTCAA